TGAGAGGTGCCTTTTTTAAATTGGTTTCTATTGGCTGTTAGTGTTTTGCGTGCTGTTTATGTGCCCCGGGCATCTCGCGTTTTAGCCGCCTGCTGTGCTTTGTGTTTTTGTAGGAGCGCTCTGAGCCTGAAGTTGAAAAAAAAAATCAACTGAGAAGAAAAGCGCCCAACGTCAGTCGTGTTTTTTTTTTCGATTGTCCAATCGAATGAATGGAGAGGTGAGCTTTCCGTTGTGGTGATGGAAGTTTACAGCGGCTTGGAACGTCTGAGACGAGACTGCAATGACGGAGAAGCTTGTGGTGGCTGTCGCGGGTTACCCGGAGCTGTATATTTTTTAGGTTTCTGCTAATATGACAGTTTACTTAACAGCAAACCAAAGATTCTAGAGCGCTCGCGCTATAATCCTTGATTAGACTGACAGGACAGCAAATTCGGTGGTTGCCAAGCAACATTAAAAAAATGCAGCACACTGCTCTTTTCTATATTAAAAAAAGTCAACCAAATAAAGGCATTGCAGTGCGCCTAGTGTTTTCAAACCTGAAAAGAGCATTCTGTCTGATCGAGGCCTAAGGAGGCACTTTATAATAACGCTGGTTTAGGGTCACAAGATACCAATGAGATGCATTTCTTAGAAGCCACTCACACAGAACACACGCAGAAGTGTTTGATCTTGCACTTTGTGTCTTTTGCAGTGTCTCACATTGTAAAAATGCAGCAATGTTTAACCCTATAAAGCCTACTTTATCATATTTGATTCACAAATGTATACGGCCTCTTAATTCTAAACATGATCAAAACTTTGCTTAAAGGGGTCATATGATGTTGCTAAAAAGAACATTATTTTGTGTATTTGGTGTAATGAAATGTGTTTATGCGGTTTAAGGTTAAAAAAACACATTATTTTCCACATACTGTACATTATTGTTTCTCCGCTATGCCCCGCTTTTCTGAAACGCTCATCGTTCTAAAAAAGCAAGGTGTGCTGTGATTGGCCAGCTATCCAGTGCGGTGTGATTGGCCGAATACCTCAAGCGTGAGACGGAAATGTTATGCCGCTCACCATACTGTGATGCCCTGTCAGGCCGGAGCGATGATTCAAAAACATGAAAACCTATTATAAACGAGGCATTTGTTGCATCCAGTGGGGACATAATTATGGATTATAATGACTTATACTGTCTTTTTACGCGTTGCATCACGCCGAGTAAACATAAAACCATGTCTGCATTTGTGATCTGAGAAATGACAAACAACAAGCCCTACTCTACACTGCCCAAAAACTCGCTTTAAATATATAAAATATAAAAACTCTTTAAATATAAAAAACAGACTTACGGTCTTTGAGTCAGAACAGCCGGCATTGTAGTCTACTCTACCAGGATCAGGAAGCAGTCCTCCATAAAATGTGCTGCACACATCTGAATATTTGGGTTGAACTGTTCTGGAACAGTGTTTTAAATACAACTTAACCACTGATTTCTAGTCGTGTCCATTTTTGGAAGGCCAAACAAAGTAGTTTCGCTATCACAACGAAACACAGTGCCTTCACGACATAGCGGCGGCGGCAACAACAATACTACAGCGAGAATAAAAGTTACGCCTTCTTTCTTTGCGTGAACATTTGGGCGGCATTATGCAAATCTTACCACATCGTGACATAGACATGTGGGGGGCGTCTTAGAATGAGTTGTTTTAGGTAGGCGTGGTTGACTCTTAACTTTTATAAAGAATATCTCTTTGGATTTGAGACTTTAGTTTTTGCAACTTTACAGATCTTCTTTATGCACCAAGAGCTTGTAACACTCCAAAGAGAAAGGAAAAATTGAAATCGCATCATATGACCCCTTTAAGAACCTTCTGTCATCTGACTGACAGTTTATACCTTTTTAGCAAGCCAAAAGCCTTTTAGTTTTAATTCTAGAAACGTCCTCCTTCAGGTTTCTTTTTGCTGTGAAATATTTACTGTTTTTTTAAAAAGTAAACGTAGAAATAACTTTTATATTGTTAATAATATTTCAAGACTTAGTGGACTGAAGCAACTTAGGCTCACTTAACCATCCATGCATCATTTTTTAGAAAATAAAATTTTTATAATTAGAGTATCAATGCAAGTTTATGATACATCGGGCTTTTGAGGAACATTTATTTGTACATCTCTCAATCCTCATTGCATTTCATTACGTCTTGCCCACCACAATGAAAATTACAGAGCTGTGATCATAAAACTAAGCATTAAAATATAATTTTACCAAGACATATTATTGGTAAATATAGAGTTGCAACTGATTACATTTTTTTCATATCTCCTGTTTTTAAACAAACATGTGCAGTGTGAATGGACCCTTAATATGCGTTCGTATAGGATGCATTCTTGCATTAAAAATTGCCCTCAAAATATGTTTATTTAATTGAACCAGCATCTCTAAAATGCTTAAATAGTATAAAGGATATTCAACAAATCCAAAAATATTGTATATTGTTGTTGTTGTTGATGGTGGTGGTTAATTTGTTATAAAAGCTCAGCTTTGATGGTTACAGCAGCAGTGCTTTGAAGGGGACAGATTTAAAGAGCTAACATTTCTGAAAAAGTTTAAACGTGCTGACAGTCTCACAGCACGTTGTCAGCACACTAAAAACTAAAAAATGATTTCCTTTTAAAGCAAAAATTAAAATAAAAGCAACTAGTTGTCCACTCTGACTCATCCCTTGTTGCAATAGTGCAAACGACAAAGAAAAACAGAAAAGAAAAAAAAAAAACCTTCGAAAGTTTTTAGCACTATGTTCTCGACTCATCTATCACAGACAAAAGTGCCCGGGCGAAACCCCGCTGGCCACCTGACATTCTTCTCCCTTCCTCCCATGACACGAGGACTAAATAAAAACAACATCCAGTCAGCGCACTGCTTCAAAGCAACTAAAACACCCCTCTCCCTCCTGCATGCTTGGATCGTTTTCAATCACACACAATTTAATAAAAGATAGACGTTTAAATCTCCTCCATTCCAGAACAAGAGCACTGCTGTGAAACCCGATCTCTGCTTAGTCTCAGCAGCCGGACACACTGAGCCACCGCGGCTACGGCTAACGAATGAAACGCATTAAAGTCAAGAGGGACAGACGGAAACAAAAAACAGTGATGGAGGCACAGAACACAAAAACAAAATAACAAACAGCATTTCGCTTGCTATGTAGCTATTCGCAAATCATATTAGGTAGGAAATGCCAAGGTCAATTTTATAATATTGAAGGGTCGGCGAAGCAGCTTAGACCTATTTGGATTAGCGAAGAGCGAATCGAGAAAGACGTGGAGTGGAATACATACAGCGGGCCTAGCCACTGGGCTAGGAAGTTGAAGCTAAAAGAGGAGGAAATTACAAGTAGCATGACTCAAGGGCAACGCGTCATGCATTCTCCGGACAGTTCCTCTCCCAAACTGGAACACATGTGCGAACGGACACAGAGGCCCAGACATGAAATGGGTTACAGCTCATCTGCTTTGCTATGTAGCCATGTTAACTAACATTAAAAGCCCAATCGGTAGAGTTCAACTGAATCAAATGCTTCAAAATGTTGAGTTCCCTGAGCTCATATGAATCGTCTTCACTCCGGGAGAGAGGCTTCACAAACAATGAGCTTAAAATTCGCTTGAAAGCGGTCAACATACCGAGATAAGCTCCATTAACTTGCCCTACAGAGAAACACTGACAAGGTTAATGAAGATTTCTGGCAAAGGTGCAAAGCATTACATTCATTCTGATTAAGGGGACATGGAATGGAAATGGTGGACGACAGGCAGTATGAAGAACAAGCTGCAGAGGGCATCTTACAGTCATACTACAAATGGAGGCATAGATCAAACATGACAGATATATAAGTTTTCCCCTCAGAGTTGGCTAAGCTTACACATCACGCCATACCATGCACAGCTACGTTTTTGTTCTTGCAATGTGCGTGCCGCTCGCGTGGGTCAGAGATGGACAGATTTGGTCGACCACCTTGGTTCTTTTTTTACAGTCTATTCAGAATTTTTCATCTCCTAGTTAAGTTGGGGCAACAGCTGGAGCGCAGGAGGCTTGGATTCCACTTCCAGAGTCATGGAGGCGTGTCACGTCACCAGGCAAACTGATTAAATTCAAGCTATGATTGTGACCAAAGCTTAAACTTGAAATTGGATTTGAGCTATGGCTCGTGAAAATCGTTTTGTATGACGTTAATGCAAGTGATTCTACAAGGTCCATCAATTCTAGAACTTCAGCTGCGGAAACGTACAGAGCAAAATCTCATTGTAGAAGTCTAATTCAGGGGTTTTCAATCTTTTTAATAGCAAGGACCACCAAACAAATAATGACATAACCAATACTTCTTCACAAAACTACACGCAGATTTTTTTTATGTGATTTTCAACAACAAGACATTGAGAAAGTAAAATTAAACAAAATCTAAAAACAAATTATATTTATTCAGCCTTAAATTGATCAAAAGTGACAGTAAAGACTGTTTAAACTGTTCTCAGCATTGACAATATTTCTAGAGCACCAAATTAGCATAATAGAATAATTGTGAAAGATCATGTGACACTGTGAAGACTGGAGAAAAATCTACTTTCATATAAATCAAACAAATAAATCAAATTTCAAAAATAGATAGATATTATATATTATTAGAAAATATAAAAAAAATTGCAATAATACACACACTTAGTATTTTATTTGTTCATTCATTTATTCTTTTTTTCACTTAATTTTCAGAGACTTTACAGCAGTTACCTGATGCCTCCTGGAAGTTCCCTGACCCCACTTTGACACTTGGAAGTGCTTTTGTTGCAAGTTACAGCATGAAAAAAAAATCCATACTCATTGTAGTATTTTTCTTAAAAACGCCATATATTAAGTCAGTGACTCGACTGGGTAACATCCAACCCTTCTCTTTCACACACACACACTGTATAATCAGTCTGTAAGTCATCTTGATTTGTACAAAGGGACATGTTGAGATTCTTACCTGGGCGATGTTTTTGTTGAGCAAATAGACACCGTATTCAAACTGGAAACGCTCTCCTCTGGGGAAAAGAGGGAACCTGCAAACAAGAGCAGCAAAGAGGCATCATGAGAAAGAGTCTCAGCACTCACCTCTGAACTATTGCACATGGTTCCCATATTAAACACAAAGTGAAGAACATTTTTATGAGGTCGTAATCAGTTCATAACTTTGCACAGGACAACCTCACACCAAACAACAAAAACAGCAGGTCATCTGGATAAACAGCTAACCAACAGAGCGAACCCTGAAACTAATAACTGGATTTACAAACCAACGCTCAGATTCAGGAATCTTTCAGTGTTTAAGGGTATTTATGTCCAGTGAAGTTAACCGAGCAATGATGATGCCTTAAACTCTTCAAAAACTCTGCGAGGCAACAGGCTCTTCCTGACGTAAGACATTTCAGCACATGTTAAGAGACCGCCTGGTGCTCTGGAGGTCTGGTTCTGATCCGCTTCTCAAATGCATGTCTGAAACACAATCTATTATCCATTAAAATCATTCTGGCTTGTTTCTTTCGGTCAGTTCTCATTTAAACCACAAGCGTAATCATGATTCAGAAATGGCCGAACGGCACACAATATCAATGTCTACATCAGAGCAACGTATAATGAACTCACCAGTCAAGATTCACAACAGATGAACACGCTGGACTATTATTGTAATTCTGAAGGGTGCACATTGAAGCATTTACTGAGAACTTAAGACTTCAGAAAAAGCTTTAATTATTAAAAATAGTGCTAATACAATAGTGTACATGTTCCAGAGATCACTGGAAGTCTGTGATGTGGACAACACTCATCTTTAGCTGATCCATTCATCATATTGAAGCAATACATCTATATAAATACTGATCAGCCAATAACTAAATTTGCAACTTCTAAGTAAGAAACAGAAGTGCTTGCAATGCACCAAAAGAGTAGTATTAAAGTTTAACAGTGTTAAAGTTATCTTAGGTTTAGGCTGCAGTTTAAAGTCATTAAAATAAAATAAAAAATGAGAATAAAATAAAATAACAAAAAATAAGATTAATAAATAAATTAAATTAATAGAAACAAGAACTAGATTCACAATGAAATATAAGTAATTGCAAGCGACCAGAATAATAGCATTAAAGTTGAATAGTGTTAAAGTACACTCAGGTTTTAGGCTTTGGTTTAAATTCATTAAAATAAAATAAAATAAATAAAAACAAACAAACATAAAAAATAAATAAAACTAAATAAAATAAAATAGGAATAAGAACTAGATTTACATTTCCATAAGAAAATATAAGTGTTTGCAAGCCACCAAAATAGTATTAAATAGTATTAAAGTTTGATAGTGCAGTAAGTATACTTAGGTTTTAGGCTTTGGTTAAACGAATAGAATAGAATAGAATAGAATAGAAAAACTTGGAAAATGGAAAAAAGGAGTAAATGTGGAGAGCGTCAAAAACAGTAAAATATCTGCGGTTTTTTATTTTATTTTTTCAGTGATGGTCAAAGGGGGAATTTCAAGTTTTAATCTGACATTTTTTAGAAAGTCTTACATTTATCAAAAAATATTTTTATTATATTTTTATAGAAAATTGCGGAAAAGAACAATAAAAACAGAATGTATGAGGAAGATCAAAATTATCCAATTGTGTCAGCAGTTCATTCTCTGAGTTTTGTAGCAATGGACTCGATTCATAAACACGCAGACCTCCTGACCCGAACATCCTATTAGTTTTATTGGAGAACATGGCCTGAAAAACCCAGTTGGAAAGTCCCTCTGAGAAAACTTAGGATGGAAAAGGTTCAACAAACAGACAAAAAGTCAACTCGTGAATATTCTGCACCCTCCTCGAAGCTGCTCCCACTGACACCTGACATAACTTCAGCCTCCTAATATCAGAGTACAACATTACTGCCCTGTTATTAAGAGCTTACAGGGAGGCAGAAAATCAGCGAGAGAGAGAGAGAGAGAGAGAGAGAGAGAGAGAGAGACAGAACAAGAAGAGGACAGAAAAGCCTCCAGCTTAACCCCCTGTGATCAACAAAAACATCACCACTTTAACCACAAAGCTCTCCTGACAGCACTGTCAGGCTTGATAAAACACCGCATTTGTGTTTTCAAGACTCCATACCTGAGCAGACACCTACAACCCAGACGTGCGAGCGATCTTCCAGACGTTCCTCTGTAATCCGTGAGGACTTTTTGTCAGTAGCACCTGGAACTCGTGCTTTTAATCGTGGAAGAATGGAGACAGACCCAGCAATTCCCTCAACTTCCTGTCTTAACAATTCTGTCTCTCATACACACACACACTCACATACTTACTGTCTGACCCATAAGACCCAGGGGGCATAATCTTGAAGCAGGTGCACACTTAAAACCCTCAATGGACTCAACACACACACACACACACACTTCAGCATGTCATTTATGTCACTTTGAGTGTGAAAGAGCAGAACAAGGTACAGTGGTACATCTTATTCCTCACACACACCTAGTGAGCTTCCTCGCTGCCTTCCAAGATAACATCCTAATAAACATAGAAACTCATAAGCAGCGGAGGTAGAAGACCTTATATTGGAAGCAACAAAACAGCAATATAGGCTAATTATATAACATTATTTACATATAAAAAAAATAGTTACATTTTGAAATAATGTAAAATATCAGTAAACAAAACAAAACACTTACAAACATTATAAACACTATAAACGTGCATTTTAGTTCCCCTAAGGATTCAGAACAGAACAGGGAAGAAAGATAAATATAAACATAATATAAACATAAATTACAGTGGCATTCATTATAAAAAACATTTATTAAAAATGGCAAGCCTAAACAAAATTTACTTTAAAGTGAAACTGAAATTACAGAACTAAACAAATTAAACTTTTAATCAATATTCTCTCACTTCCTTAATTTGTTTAGTATTTACATTTTTGGAAAAACTAAATATAAATGCATTGCCAAACAGTGAGATAATTTCAATAATGAATATATTTAAAACAGTTCTTGTTAAAAAAATAATAATAATTATGTTTACACATAAATGTAATCCAATAACTTCTTGCCTAAACTAAAACATAATGATAAAAAAAGTGCTAAACATTTAATTAATATTTATTACAATTTTAAATACTTTCTACTGAAAAGGCCTCAGTTACAGTTGTATTGTTTGAATCACTAAAAAGAACCAGTTCATTTACAGTAGAGTCATTCATTCTGTAATAGGATTACACAGGTAGCTCTTTATGTTTTTGATTCATTGTAAAGAACCAGCTCATTAGAGTCATTCTTTTGTGACTCGGACTGCACTGGTTATACTGTATAGTTTTGATTCACTAAAAAGAACTGGCTCATAATAGTAATCTGTAAATTTGTAAGTCAGATTACACTGGTTGCGCTGTACTGTATGTTTTTGATTCATAAGACTAATTCATTCATTCATTACTTCACACTCATTTAGATTCATTCATTCTGTAATGGGACTACACTGGCTCATAAGAGTGATTCTTTCGGAAATCAGATTACACTGGTTATGCGGTTTTTATTCACTAAATACAATTGGCTCAGGAGAGTCATTCGTGAGTCAGACTACACTTGTTGCACTGTGGTTCACTAAAAAGAATCGACTCGGAGTCAGTTGTTTGGGAATTAGAATTTACTCTCCGTGCTGTATATTTTTAATTCACTAAAAAGTACCGGCTCATTCATAGGAGAATTGGACTACACTGGTCGTGCTGTATGCTTCACGCTGTAGATTTAATAGCGGTGTTGCGTCACAACTAAATGAGAAGTGCAAGATACTCCATCAGAGTATTTCAGTACAGTATTCTGCCTCAAATTGAGCAAGAACCGGAATCGAACATTGCTTGGCTGCCAATCATATCCTCGCAAGCCATATCTTACCACATTCCATAGAAACAACCACAGTTAGCCAGCCAAAAATCACTCGCACACACACAAACACACGCAGACGTGCACACACACACACACACACACACACTGTCACCTAACAGTGATTAATGAGTGCTCTCCAGTGTGTGTGTGAGATCATACTGCTGTGACTCTGGTTCACAGAGCACCAGGAATTCCTCAAGGGAATGTCCAGATATATGTGTGTGTGACTGAAGTAGGGCTGTGCGATTCGGGGGAAAATATCAAATTGCGATTTTTTTTTGACAGATATTGCGATTGCGATTTGATTTGCAATTTTAAATTTGCAAAGTCAAGCTTCATCTCAATATTCCCAATAATGTGCAGCACAGTATGGGTATCATTACCCTGCTGACAAAAACAATAGAAACCATCACAGAAATTCTTATAGTTTCCATTAAACCATTACAAAATTCCTTTTTGTTTTGGGCATTATTCCAATAGGAATTACTGTTGTTCTATTGGTTCCCATCTGCCAGATTACATCCCACCAATAGAATCCATTTTCATCCAAGTGAAATTAGCAAGCAGTTAGACTGAATTTACACTTGTTTTAAACACGGAGCCAGGCACGAGTCGACACAGGTTGCTCGCGTGCGTCAAGCCTCATCCATACTGCCAGATGCGCTCGTGGAGACGTGCGGTGCGGAGCCGGGTGCGAGTATAAACGAGCATTACGAGATCGGCTGCGTGAGTGCGGCAAGCATGAACCGCTCGTCCGTGACGCGTGATTCACGCCATGTGGGGCCGAGAGGAGCGAGTATGAGAAGCATTCACAGACACAGGCTGTGTGTACGCTCTTCTGAATTGGGAATAGCGAACATGCATCATAAACTTATTCAGATTAATCTGTTGGGGAGATAAAATGTGCAACATAACGTTCACGTACTAACAAAAAAATCTAAGAATGTATCTTTTATTCTTCAGTACTGAAAACAGAACCTAGAAGGGAGCTTTTGATATGCGCTCTGACGCAGCTCTTGGAAATTACCGTTTTTGTTCGTTGTCTGTCATTTCGAAGCTTACCTTGCATACGTTTTTCTTTAGTTTTAATTTGCCTAACTATCGATCTGACCCAGTAGACGCCATAATCCCACTTTGTCTCTCTCCCGCGTTCTTTTT